AGCAACAATTTTCATATATTTGGTCCTGAAATGATGGTTGTATGAACGGAGGTAACAAATGACTTTTTAATGTGTTTCCATGAAGAGGAGCCAGATTCTTGGCACTGTCATTTCCATCTTAAGAAAAAAAGGGGAGAGAATCCACGTGCTTTAAGACAACTGATCACTGTTGTCAAAATTCACATGCCGTTGGAAATACAAAATAGAAGCTTTTATGGCTGCTTCAGTCTTATCTTCTGTCTCTTCTTTGGTGCCTGCTCCTGCCTGCCCTGCCCCCATGGCTGTGGTAGACGTTCAGCTGCTGCATGGGTTTGTCATGTGGCCAGCCCCCCAAATTTATCTTTCTCGTATGGCCAAATAACTTCATCCCCGTGGCAATTTGCTTGAATTAAAGAGGCTGGCGAATGCAGTCGAGCCTGGGGATACAATATGAAAATCAGCGGTTGCTTCGGTGAGCAATTACGCAGTGAAACAGCTATCAGCTAGAGGAAGAAGCGGCCAGGCTCTCGTAGCTGGGTGAAAACCTTCTTCTGTGCAATTCCCTATGTAATATAAAGCTTTTGCAATATAGAGCACCTTTGATTACAAATGTGTGCGGTATTTAAAATTAGTATCAGTTTTTGCTGAAGGACAGTTTTGTGCTACTGCTGATTCAAAGCACTAACCTTTGTGGAATGACGTGCATAGAAATGGGATTAGGCAGCTTTTGTTGATTCCCTCAGCCTGGTACTCTGACTTGTGCTGGGTCTTTAGCCATGGCTGTAAATTGCTGACACACAGAATTTATTTAGCTTTGTATTGATCAAAACTATATTTTTATCTGGAACATTTTATAGCGGGAATCTGGGCTAATGCACAGAAGAGAGTGGGTGGATTTATGAGTTGTATCAGAAGTACCGTTCTATATCTTCTGGTGGGTATTGTGTGTGGTTCATATGCAAGAGAAATATTTGCCTTCTTATGTGAAATTTTGTACATCTCTGAAAATGAGTCTGTGTATTGATAATGATCTTGCCCTGGAAAACTGGGAATAATGCAGCGATTTACAAATACAGAGTTTTAGACAAAATAAATAAACCACATACTAAAATCCTCTCAAAGCTTCCACACAGTTTCAATGATTTGTTTTTGTAAAATTGTTGTGACATTTCATGAAAACAGTTTCCAGCTCCATCTGTCTGGCTGTAGAGAGTTATTTAGATATTCACTGGCCTGTCTTTTATATGGCTTTAGAGATGGGGTTGGGGCTGCAAGTAAATGTAGTTCAGCTGTTGATTGCATGTCTTACGCTCTAGCATCTTTGTGCTTTGACGTGCCTGTTAGGACATAGCAGGAGCAATCACTCCATCCTTCAGAGCTGTGGTCCAGGCTGCCAGTCTTTGTCTTTCAATGACCTCCTTTGGCAGGTACATATGGGAGTTGAGAAATTCCCTCATTAAAAAGCTGCATGTGTCATAATACTCATGGGCTAGAATAAAGCTGGCTACCTCCCTTGGGACTAATGCTGTGGTTTTTTTGAGCTTATTCTTTAAATTAAGAAGGTGATTTCTTTGTTTTCAGTGTCATCAGTTTAGACGATATTTTGTGGCTCCATCATATATCTGTATGTATTTAGAAAAAGACAGTGGTGTGTTGTAGCCATGGGAGACTACTTTGACAGGTTGTGGTAGTTCAGTATTTGAACTGGCTGATCTCTGTAATTCCTCTTTCCTGATGGCCCTGTAATGCTTTACAAACTTGAAAGATTTATTTAAAAAAAAAAACAAAACTAGTGCAGTGCTGTCCAAGCGGAACAGTCCCAAAACCACTGCCCTTGCACTGCTTTTACTTGCCTGACCTGGAGATGGGTCACGTCAGGGCTCATCAAGTCAAAGGCAGAATCGGTCTATTTTTTGTCTTAATCTTATGATCATAGATGTCTGCGGGACAACCACATAGCCTTGGTTTCATACACTGACAGAAATCTGTATGTATATTCTTCAGTGTTTATACTTCCGTTTGTGTAAATTCTTGATACTGAGGTAGGTTTTCTCAATCTCTGTCCTGTGTAGTACCTAATGTTATGATGTGCTCATGCTAAGGGCTCTTTAATGGTGTAGAAACATCAGATAATAGGGATGCATCCTGCTTTGATCTCAAATTTGCATAAAATAATTCTTATTTGGGGAATGAGCGTGAGTCTGCTGTTACGTTTCTGGATCTTCAGATTTGATTTGAAATGCTTATTACAGGTTGGAAATGCAGGGCATTCTTTTAAACATTTTGGTTCTGGGGGTTATTAGATTTAAACTATTTATTGTGAAATACCTAAACCCAAACAAAAATAAATGAATGCATCGAGGTGTGCAAGGAACTAGTGCATATTTCAGATAACGAGCATACTGAGCTTTTAAGGGTAAAGAAGCCACTTGAATAGATTTAAATTGGCTATATGCTTGTTGACGGCTCCACTGCTCTTCCGGTGTTGCAGACCGTGGTGAAGTGGTACAGCATGTCAAGATTTTAATTTAATTCTGGAAATAAAAAATACAGTATCATTCTACTGAGTTCCAAGCACAGTGTTTTGGGGGAAGGCAAGGAACAGTTATGCAAGCTGGTCACTTAATGTGGGTTCATATAGGAAGAGAGCTGTTGGATAACTCTATCCTGTATTTGTTAAATACAGTACACTTATCAAACCTGCTCCCACAGACAAAATCTTTAGTGACCCTGAAGTGGCTCTCAAGAATAAATCTAGTGCTCACATTTGTGGGCTGTATATATAAATTTTAATACTACATCCATGTAGTAGAGTAGTTCGCTTTGTCTGTATCTTCTTTATACCTCTGAGGACCGTTTGAATATACAGTGAGACTTGAAAGGTGTTCTGACAAGAGGGAATAATGAGTTGGCTCGTAAATGTGTTCAGTTCATGGTATTTTATAGTTAGTTGTGTGAAATTCCAGTGTTTAAAAAAAAAAAAAAAAGGAAATAGGAAATGGCAATTACGCAGAACTTTCACTCTTCAATTGCATATGTACTGCATTTCCATTGTTACTTACAGCTTTAAAGAGCCTATCTGGAGGGCTGTATATTAAGTAATTAATATTATTTAACACTTTGTTATGAAGTGTATACAATTAATTGATGACATATAGAAATAATGATCTGGGTAATAGAAATTCAGTTCCTGAGAGCTGAGACTAGTTTTCTTTCAAAGTTTTATACTTGGTTCTGATTGTTCTTTTCAAGTTCATTAATGATATATGCTTACGTGCCACTTGATCTTTGAAGGCAAAATTGAAATTCAGTTCGTGAGCAAGATAATGAAAATCTATACATAGCTCTTCTGTGCAATTAAACAACCAGAAATGTGACAGTCTTAATTGTTGCATGTTTGGTACTGATAAGCTGTTCATAGTAGGGCAGGTTTATAAATTTAAAAACCAAACAAACAACAAACCAAACAAAAACCACCCCCACAAAAAAACCAACAAAACAACAAAAAAATCCCACCGACACAAAAACAGCAGCAACAAAACCACAAACAAAAAGCGCTGTTTGTATCTCTTCTATTAAATGTGAAATGTGTTTAAACATGCTTAAATATTGCACGTAGCTGAACTGTTGAGTGATGTTGGTTTGAAACCTGTTGTAATGGTTGGGCTGGGGGAATGGTGGGTCTAAGCCAGTTTGTTTCCCTAAGGCTAGCAATTTTTGTGCAAATGTTTTGAGGATCAGCATTAGCCTGTATGTGCTGACTTATTTGCTTAGAGAGCTTGTTTGAAGAACAAGTCAGAGTTGTTCACTCACCTATCACGTGTTTAAATGCGTTGGTTTTGATAGTATGACAAGTTTTGAAGTAAGCATAGTTGGGAAGTAGGGTTCAAATTGGAAATAATTCCGGTTAAAAAACAAAGGGGTGAAGAAAGAAGTTTAGCGTGTATCAGTAGATATGTTTTATCGTAGTCTGGTAAGCTCAGATGTGAGGCAGTTGGACGATGGTAAGTGTGGAGGCCTTGGGGCCTTTGTGGCTTAGGTGGGGAGTTAAGGGTGCTTTTGCTTCCAGGAGAGGAGCCTAAATGCAACCCAACTACTTAGGCAGGCTAAGTTTGCTAATCCTGGCTTAGGCTCGGTCACACCAGAAACCCTAAATGTGATTTGTCATTATCTGAAGTCCATCATGAGACACAGCAGGATGCCTGAAATATGCTTAACCCCAAAGGAAAGCAATTCCAATTCTGCCCTTGGGTCATGCTTGAAGTCCCTGTGAGGCCAGTGGAGAGACAAGTGTAATGGTGCAGCTGCACGCCCTGGTTTGGTTTCTTAGATTTGGTGCCAGCTCTTTGGTCTTCACAAGCACTCAATATTCTGCATCTCCCTAAAGTAATAGGATCAGGAACAGAATTCAGCTGAAGGGTGCAACTCCACGCTTTTTATCTAGATCTCCAAAATAGGTCTTTAATTCATCCTGCTAGTAAGTGGCACAGCATCTCTACAGAGGTACCACCATTGTAGTTTTTTTTGTCTAACATGTGTCTAGTATTTTTCCCCTAACTGTGGTTTGTGAATATAGAAGTATCATTTTCATAACATTACATGTGTGCTGTAAGAACTGGGCTTCTCTTGAGGAAATGCTAATTCACACAAGATACTTATGTTAATTCTAATACATTATGATGTTTGTATGCAACTGTCCCATGTTTGCCTTTCTTAGAGATACATTTCTTGCCATTATATAAAACAAAGATGACTGTCTTTTAGCTATATGTATCAAAACCAAATACACCTAACATGGGAATTAGTGTTTGTAATGCAATTGTTGGCTTTTTTCCACATTAGCCTTACTTTTAAAGTATGTGACTTAACTTTCTTCAGTAATTTCTATGCATATGAATTTATATTCACAGTTTATTAATTTGTGAAAGATCGTAAGGACACCTTTTTTCCACAAGCGAAGCCTTTTTCTATTTTGTATGTTTTGCCTTTTCTGTTCTGTAATGAGTTACTTTGTGTGACAGGTGGGAGATTCAAGAAAGAGATAGTAGTTGATGGACAAAGCTATCTGCTGCTGATTAGAGATGAAGGGGGCCCTCCAGAGGCACAGGTGAGCATTGCATTTATAGAGCTTTATCAGCCTAACATCATGGTTTCCTTTCTTTTAAAAAAACTTCCTTTAAGAGCACTGGCTTTGTTTTGTTCTTTCCTGGGTCCTGGTCATCTTTCTGCTGGGAAAAAGTATATGTCACCCTCAAGGTGAAAAATAATCCGTTTAGAAATTATTTGGGATTTCAATTACATTGTGAAACTGTGTAATAAAGATATATGGCTAGCTTATATTGAAAGCCTAATCAATATGCTTTTAGTGACCACAAAATTGCATGTTATTAAGATTTCTTCTGAGTCAGAATCTCTAAATTGTTAAAACACAAAGTAGATGTATGCACAATAACACACATACTTCTGTACAGATCTGTGCATTCCCTATTGCTTCCACATTTTGCTCCCTGTGCTGATTAAGACTCAGCTTTGTGAGCTCCAGTTCAGCACCAATGAGTTCTTGAATTTCTGACTTGGTTTCTGTATACAGCGTGTTACCTCCTTGTCTCGTAGAAGGCGACTTGTCGGGATTTGCCTTTGAGAAGACACTTGTGGGTTTGTGTGCTTAACTCTGTTACTCTATTTTGAGTGATGAGAAGTGAAGCGTTTGTTTATGTGATGCTTAAATCACCACAGACTCTGCTGGCCTGTCTGCAGACAGTGTCGTTGTCTTCGGGCATCCTCCTTGTCTCCCCTCTACCTTTTCTTACCTGGGCACTCGTGGAGTTTCTCAAGTGTATTGGCTGCCCCTGGCCTTGCTTTGCCACCTGTTCAGTGGTGGATCAGCTTTGAAAAAAAAAAAAAAAAAAAAAAAAAAAATCTAGCAGCAGGAACTGTGCTGTCGCCAAACAGCTGAACGGGAGTGATGCCAGCAGCAGCAGCTTGTGTTTCAATGCTCCACTATTGCTCATTAGCTGCAGGAGGATTAGAGCATGGCGGAAGGTGCCCGGACAAAGGAGAAGAGAAAGGAGGTGGAGGAAATGCAGACCAAGAGAGACATCCTGGAAGGAAGTTAAAATAAAAACAAAAAATTAGTGTCACTGACACATCTGCAGCCGTGTGAGGCATGAGCCTAAAAGAAATGCTCTGTTTTAGGCTGTGAATAATTTGGCTGAAGTACACAACAGTTTCCAGGCCCCAATGCTTGGACAACATTCACTTTTATAAAAACATAAATACCGGAGTTGTAAAGGTACACACAGCAATCTAAATATTTTTGTGTCTGAAGAATTAGTTTTGCAGAGTTTATTTGAACAAACTGCAAACTAATGAATAGACACAGTGTTTTGCTTTTGATCTATGCTAGGTAAATTTGGGGGTTTTAATTACTATTGTGGCTAAGATTCTTCAGCAAATAATGAGTATGGAAATGTTTAAGCTGTTAGTGCTATTTCATTTTTTCAGAAGACGTGTTTCACATGTAAATTATCTTTGGATTTTTTGGGTATAATTTCAAGTCACATGTATATTAAAGATCTTTAATCTGTTTATTAATTCCTGGAATAAAAAGTTTGCTCCAGGGTTCATGAATATTTATAACTCTATAATGAAAATGGAATACTATCAGAAGAAAAATGTTTACCTCCCACTGCTTATGATACAGATATAGGTTAAGGTTCTGCTTTTTGTGACAGCACGGTATATTTTTGTGTTCAAGTCACATGTATATTAAAGATCTTTAATCTGTTTATTAATTCCTGGAATAAAAAGTTTGCTCCAGGGTTCATGAATATTTATAACTCTATAATGAAAATGGAATACTATCAGAAGAAAAATGTTTACCTCCCACTGCTTATGATACAGATATAGGTTAAGGTTCTGCTTTTTGTGACAGCACGGTATATTTTTGTGGATAGA